TCCTCATGGCACGCCTACTGAACATCTGGACAGAATGTGACCCCTGTGAAACTACATCTGCTACCTCTATACAGATGCTTTGGCTAGACAAAGAGGTACGTCTATAAAAAACAAACCTACTTCTTGCTTATACTTTAAACATAAAATGTTTAGTGAACACATTTTTCCAACATTGTAACTCCTATAGGGACAGCTTATGGAAGCTGTTGTGCGATGTGGAAGTTCTCCTGACATGTGTTCAGACATGAACCTTGGTTGTCTCTACACCATGATAAACCCAACTGTGATACCGGCTAAATCTGAACGTCGAATTGCACCTTCCACTTTGAGATTGTCTTTCACAAATAGAGGTGCGTTCGAAGGAATCCATGAATATCGCAGCACCATGAATTTTCCAGATGACTGTGCCCATCAAGTTCTTTGTGATTACAGTGTTTCTCCTGCAAGTCTCCCACTCTGTTACTCAGGTATTTCTTCTTCCTGCTTAGCCAACTGAACACAGCATCCTGCATTTTAAATTGATGCACAGAATATTTTTTCCCCCTAAATATAATATTTACAGACCACATGCAACCAAATAACTCAACCAGATTCGTGTTTCAGAAATCACAGGATGCGTGACGCACATAACAGAACCACTTAGGGTCAATTCTGATACATTTATGTTTCAAATCTATCTTGAAGACATGAGGTATGCTTCGAAATCAGCTTATGTTTTATACGTTATAATGCAAATTGGTCTGTATTAACACACATTAGTTGTCTTCCAACTTCATAGTGGCAATAAAGGACTTGTGAGCTACATCGGAACGCGGATTAAACAATTCATTCATAGTGCTGATGGAAGCGAGGTGCATTATCCTCTGATCATTACAGCAACAGGCCTCACCCGAAATGTCCACGAATTCACCCATATTCCGCCGTTTTGTTTCGTGACATCTCCTGGGACCCGTCTCATTGTCCACCCATACAATGAAACGACACATCTTTTAATGAACAGGTATGCTGTACTATTTGCAGCTTTCTTTCCATTATATGCATCTTCTTCTATCATTTAGCTAATTGAACACAACAAACCTTTTAGGTTCTTTCATAACAGATTGCCAGTGGACATCATTGACTACAGCTCGAAGGAGCGCCTTGGATACCTTCGGCGCAAGATTCCTCCCAGAATTTCATTGCTGGAATTGAAGACCAAAGTTCCATTAGGAGAAATGGAAACTGAGGTGACTTTCCTTACCTTCTTTGTGCACCTGTAGATTGTTAATCAAGTATATATTACAATTATCAAGCATCCTCAGGTGGCCTTCCAACAAAATAAATGTTATTAGTTACTCACACAAACTGGACTTGACATTTTTCCTAATTCAATCCATATGACAGATACTCTATCGATGCAAATTGAAGATACTTAAGTTCCATCTTGGTTCTGAGACCTGCAAAACTTTTCCTGAAGACACTGAGTATTTCCAAACTACGACTACTGTTCTTTTCCTTATTGTTAAGTAACAATTCATTGCTACCACATCTCTAATCTACGTATACGTTTAGATTGTACTACGAATTGCAGGCTGAATGCGAATCAGGAAATCACACTGCAACAATTGTTCTGAATCATCAACCTGCTCTTGCTCTAATCCGTATGCCACCGCTCGAGTTCCAGATGATGCCATATGACGAGAGAGTTGAGTTGCTCAAAACATTCTGCAATGTTCAGCTAATGGCAGAACTGTACATCGTGGGATCAGAAGATTCAGATGAACCACACATCCGCATGTTTGCGATTTGGGATTCAAAAGCATTTCGCCCATTGCTAGAACTTAAGTTGCGCATCTGACCAAAGCCCTTACATTGCAGTCAAAGAAGGTACATTCCTTCCTACTTTTGTTTTGCATTCAGTGGAACATTGGTGTTCTTGGGCACAACCATTTTTTGCGCACCAATAATACCCACATGTCTGTTCTTATTGCAGCTCTTGGAACTAAGAAGTTAAATGGGTTGTTGCCTGAGGAAGGATCAAAGTAACGCAGGGCCAGAAGACATAGATTGCAACATTATTAGTTAATTAAATCTTTTGAGAATTGGAATAGTCCATCTTTATTTCCATTCTGGACAGAAACTGTTCTGGTACGTTGTGTATGGTAGCTATCCTTTAAGCTCAACCATCCAAATAGTTTAGATCTAAACAATGTACTTTGCAATGAATGCTCGTATTTTATTCGTCTGAGCTATGCCCTTTCTGCAGTTCCTTTCTTTTAAATGTGTTGGATTGTTCTGTCTTCACTTTTGTGTCGTTACTGTTCTGGTATATTAGATCTCAAAATAATTACACATACCACTGTTGCCTCAGTTGAAAAGTAATAGATTCCCTTCACACCACTTGTCTTTTAGTCTTTCCTTCTACGACCATTGTTTATTGTATTTTGGATCATTTTGGGCCGCAGAGACACTGAACAGTTCGAGAGAAATTTTCTATGTTTTGTTGTTTTATTCAACGTTTAGGAAGATCCCTGCTCTTATCTCACCTTCCACCCTCTCTCATCAACTTTACTCTTCTTCCGTTATTTCCTCACAAACATCCTAAATCAGCATACTGTGCCTGTTCCGCCTTCCTTCTGGTGTCATCCGGTTCGCTCTTCGTCCCCAAAATCCCTCACAAAAGAGGCATGTTTCGGCTAAAGCTGCTTCTGGATTTGAATGGAACTGAAGGGGTAGAAACTGCTCTCAAGATACGACTCTTGCATGTTTGGGGTTATTGCAATACAGAAAATTCATCCATCCTCTCACAAATTTGCAGTCTTTGGACCGATTCCAAGGTACTATAGCATTTCCTTTAACGTTTTTTGTTCCACTTGCCAGCTCAAATTGTGCTCCTCGGTCATTTCTCTTGCTTCGCCTCCTCCCTGTTTAACAGGGAACCTTGATCCAGGCCATCGCGACACCAGATTTAGGTCACCGATTTGGCGCACACTTGCAACTAGGGTGTGTCTACTTAGTTACTGGATACCAGCTGGCAAAATCACAGCCAATGTGCCGCCCTTGCTCGCATAGATTTAGTTTGGTTCTTTCTCAGGGAACCATATTTGAGGATGTGACCATGTTGTCACCGGGTTTCTGTGCTGATTCATTTGAGTTTTTCCACTTCAGTTCCTTGCGCGGCTTGACTCGCTCAACAAACCAGCTCATAGGTTCACCTGGAAATTACTGTAATATCATCACATATACTTCACCTGATGTTTGCACTACTGAATTGACGATCTTTTAAAACATCTTCACATGTAGATGTTGTTGGCAGAGTTGTGTCTGTGAGCGGGTTATCCTGTTCAGCAACGTCCACTGGTGCTGTTATTAGGCGGAAACTGGTCATGCAGAACGAAAGGTCTTCAGTGCAATGCGGTTGTGTACCTTTCCATTTGTAGTTGATTTAACTGAATTCCAATCATCTCCCTCTTGCCTGCACTTTACTATTGCAGAAATATACGTGTTAACATCACCATATGTGGCGATGTTGCTCGATCACTAGATGGAGAAGAACTAGCATACCTTGGCCGCATGGGCTCTGTTATACTTGGTGTATGCAGTCTTCAAGTTACTAACGCCACAGCAGGTTTACAGTGCATCTTTCTACCTCACAGTTAATGCTATTGCTATTCCATTCTACGACGCCTCACATCTGCTTTCCTACTTTTACCAAAGGCGGCATTTTTTTAACCAGCACCTCCGCCACACGGTTTGTTTTGGAGCCATCCTCTGATTTGGCAACTGTTTTGCGTGCTACGTAAGTCTCTTACAAGCTGCCGTTTATAGTAATTTACTTTCCGTTTATCTCATATACTTTCGAATTTGTAGGTCTACTGGTGGTACAGATACGATCCGATACTATCCTCCATACTTTTCCACTTCTTTTGCAGAGGAAATGTTTCGAACTGACAGTACCAAGACAATTATGGACCTCATCCGCCTTTCCAGGAATCCAATGGTTGACGTGCGTTCTTTTGACATAACTTTTACTGTAACAGCACTGTGTTTTATTACTACATGCCAGGTTAAAGCATAATCTGCACTATTAATGTAGCCAGCCATTATTTTCATGTTTCAGAATGTATTCTGCCTCACCACTAGATGGATCTGTTTTTCCAGTCCCTTTCCCCAGTAAACTAACAAATTTCTTCCCTGCTTAGCTAACTTTTCTCACCAGTTTTGTTTACCTACAGGCTACCCAGTACTATTGTTTGGCGCAAGTCCTCTCCACTGAGTCTTCAAGATCATGGTTCTACTTAGGATGTGCCTTTTGCTTTAAGACAGCTAGGGAATTTCCTGGCTCTGGTGATTTTTTTTGTGAAGACCATGGCCAACTAAAGCCTGAAGCTACCGAAAAGTGGTTAGTTTTAAATCCACCTTTTCCCCATCAGTCAAGTGGGCACGCCCAATTCAACCCTGAAATGTTAATACATTTTTACAGCTACAAAATTCATTTGGCTGTCGGAGACACTACTGGCTCGGCGTGCTTCGTCGCACTTGGAAAGACCGCTGAATCTTTGCTTGGAGTTACAGCAACCGAACTATTGCTGCAGCACCCCCACCACCATGGCCATTTCCCTCCGAAAATTGTGGCCATGAATGGATGTTGGTTTTCGTTTTGTGTGCAACTCCCTAAACCTGGAAATCTGGCTCAGACTCCTCTGGAGTTTACTATACTTTCTGCATTCGACCGCAGCCAGCTTTAACAATAAACTAATGGAAAAGTCAACACTTGCGCAGAAAGTCGTTGTGCTCGACCGTTGTCTTACCTATATTATCCAGTATTTAGCAACACCTGCACTTCAACATCAACAGACTTATGCATCCGAGATGTACGTAGAAACTATTCATATGCACACTTACTCCGATTTTCCGCTATCAACTCTCTAATCTCATAATATAATCTCCCCGCCGCAGAGCGCGGGCTTCCTTCCTAGTATTCTAATCAACTACAGAGTTATGGTATGTCATTGTATTTACAGCTACAAAATGAATCGCACTTCTGTGAATTTTTAAACTTCATACAGACGCCATGAGCCAGAACATGACGTGGGACGACACTGCAAGGAGAAACCAAGAGATGAAAGCCAAAGCAATGGCGATTTGGAACTTTTTGCATGGGAAGTGAGGTGTGGCATTGCAGTAGTGCAGGTCTCGAGCGTACAAAATCGTGACTCCTGCTGATGCAGATGCTGCTGCAAGTGACAGGATAGATGTCACCTGCATATTAAAAAAATCAGAAAAAATTGATACTGGGTTATGAAGCTCCAATCAATTCAATCTAAGAAGAAATGAGATGCGAACAATTATGTGCAACATCATGATGGCTGAATTATCTACCCATTCCTCTAGATATGCTTAGGAGAATAATGCATGAAGCTGAAAAATCTCATCATGGAGATCTGAATTGCTTAGGAAAATATCCGTTGTCTTTGCATTCGAAGTGTGCCAGGAAGCTTGAAGCAAGGACTAGAGATGAAGATAGTGATCAACTACATGTTTTAAGCCTTTTGTGATCCTACATAGACAGTGTAAATGATCACTTGAAGTAAAGATAGACATTTACCCAATCGCCGACAACAAATAGGCTCACTAATACGGGATTCTGCAAGCTTCTCTTTGATTTCAATGCATGTAGATCAAGGCATGCAAGTCCGAAACTCCATAGAACTTGAAGCCCCATTGACGCAATTAGATAGCTGAAAAATTTGGACAACATAAGGCTATCTTTAAGGAACTGAGTGCAAAAAAAAAAAATTCGCAGCTCTTCTAAAAGGTGACATAAAAATAAAATAACCTTTCAGTTCAATTCTACTTCCATCTCTGTCGACAGAACTCCACAAGAGAACACAGTAATCATAGCTCTGGAGCTATTCAAGAAGTAAATTGGGAATCAAGGAAGATAAGAAGAGACACATCCCAACTAAGCTAGTGAACATATATGCAGAAAAACATTCAGAATGACGGGGTCAACAACTTATTAGTAACCACCTCAATAATTCAGTATATATTGTTGCAACACTTCTGATAATGCGAACCAGTGCTCACTTTTATATGCTGCATCTATTAGAAGCTCACTCTTCTTATCTTCATGTTTACTAGCATGAAAGGGACAAATTTCATGATTTGTTTTAGTTATGGTGCATAACTGTTTGTTTTTGGGATCAAAGCGACACTAGAAGGAAGAAATCCAACGTGAAGGAAGATGGACATTAAACAGGAGACTAATATTAGGGCTTTGACTCTCCGCCATTCTGTTAACCAGATGAGTCACAGAAACCAAGGAAATAAGCTGTTACATTAAAAAAAATCAAAGCTGCAGCCTGACCTTGATCACAATGAATGAAAATACTTGCACTATTGATTCAATACCACGAGAGCCTGAGCTTATCACTCACAATATTGATCGTACAATCACAGCAATGTACTACAACAGAGCTAGCTTTGTCCAAATATAGTTCCAAACACTGATCTTAGCTCTACTGTATTAAGTTCAATTTGCTGCTAGAAATGCAATCACAATACTAGTTTTTCAAACTAATCCTACAATTTTCTCTACCATTCTATAAGGCCCTTCCTCAAAAGTTAACTCCAAACCAAACAGTAATTTCGTTGAGGTAAACCTTGTTCTCAATGGACCCCATTTCTTCCCGGATAGAGAATTCAGACCAGAATAAGCAAATGACCCCAATTACTAACTAGAAACGGACCGTTGATAAGTGAAAGCATAACAATAATCAGATTCCAAACTATCTTTACTACCACCAACAGAACCTAAACAATCAATAACCACCCACCAGCTCAAAACCATGTAACCACACCAAATTCGACTCTATACAAGAAACCCAAAACGAATGGGAAAGAAGCGAGAAAAGGGGAAACGTTACCAGAAAGCTGTGGAGTTGAAGAAGCCATGGGCAGAAACCATCACCCCAATCGAAGCAGCTGCAAACACAAACTGCCCAATCCTCAGCCCCAGCCCACTCGCCTTCCCTGGACTCCCAAACAATTCCTTCATCAGTCTTCCCCCGCAACGCAATTTACACTTCTCCCCCGCGCTCCTCCTTGAACCCAAGACCCCTTTTCACAGAAGCTCACCGGAAGTGAACCCAGCTTCGACAAATCAATAATCCCTCATTAGCATTCTCATTAGCTCCATGGGACACACCATGGACAGAAGCTGGGATATTTTGGGTTTGGGTACCAGGTCTGCCTCCGAGCTGATGGTGGCGATCTTTCTTGATGCTGCGTCAATGGAAGAATGTTCTTTCCTTTCTTTCACTACCAGAAATCCGACACTATCCGCTTTTTCTTATTGCATTAAAATAATAATAATCAACCAACATTTGCTATTTGTAAACCTTCAAATCAAATGTAAGAATAACGGAAAGAAAACACGGAAAACGCTTTTTTATAATTGCTCGTGAATTGTGATTGATGGCTCTGTGGCTTTGCTAGTTCTCACTTCTCACTTCATTTTCTGACTTCTGTTTTAACTTTTCTGGCCCATTTGCTCATCGACAGATAGAATAGAAGACAGAAAGGGGACATGCGGTGTTGGGCTGAACTTATCTAAGTGGGCCTCAGGAGAGGGCCTGTCAATATCTGGCCCATCACTTAATTGGCCGGTGACCTTCAGCCTTGATCCTTAAACCCTTAAAATCCTGGTATCCTCCTTTCCTTCCAAAATCAGTCTCCCTATCTGAAAGGCTAAAACCCTGACCCTGAGCTAGACGAAGAACCGAGAATGGCGTTCAGAGCAGCGATACGGAAATCGGCATCAACTTTGGCCCCACTCGTGGGTCGAGCTATTAGTCGTGTTGAAGCTCGCCGGAGCTTCGGTTCTGCAATCCTCACAGCTGCAGGCGGTCGCCGCGGTTGTATTTGCGGGAGAGGACACGCTGGTGTTTCGCATTTATGCGGCTATTCTACAGCTCCCGTGGTGAGCAACAAGCCGGCTGCCGGCGAGTCGCTCCTCCGAATCATCGAGGATGAAATCAAGACTTCCCAGGAGACTGATGATCACGATCAGGTGAGGGAGCTCTCTCTTTCCGCCCACTTTTTGGGTTGATTTCATGGTTTGGCTCCTTTGTTTTGGTTAGATGGATTGTTTGTACTTTGTTAGCCTGGAAACAAACAAATTAGCTTGTGGATATGTTGGAGTCTTTATGGTTGAGTGTATTGATGACTTCCTTTCCCTGTGGGAGAACCCTTAAAGATGGCTAAGGTGAAAAGTTTCCAACTTTCTAGAGGAAATGGAAAGTCTGTCATAATGCATCAGATACCCTTATGCTACATTAGAATGGAAACAAAATGGCGAAATGGAATTTTTCCTTGAATGATAGGAGCCAAATCCCATAATTGTGGTGTAGTGCAGAACTTGTCAGCAGCTCTTGGTTCTAGTAGTTCTGCGTGGTTAAATGGGAATCTCCAATTCTAAGTAACTTAGGTTAACAAGAGAGCGAGGGTGGTTTTGAATTTTGATGGCAAATAAGACATGGTTGCTCTGTTTACAGTCGCTGTAACCTTGTCTGCTAGATATTACATAGTGTTCCTAGAAACACTGAAGTGGTTTCTGAGTTTGTTTTTGCCTAGACTTAATCTCTCCTGATGGTCTTTTTAGGTTGAGGATGTTCCAGCAGGTTTCCCTTTCGAGATTGAGGATAAACTGGGTCAACAGACACTAACACTGACAAGACAATACGAAGGTGAACATGTTAAAGTTGAGGTTCACATGCCTGATCTCGTCACCGGTGAAGAGAATGATGTTCGAGATGATGACGACGATGATGATACCGAGAGGCCAACTCAGTCTAGCCTCCCGTTGGTTGTCACTGTTACCAAGAAGAGTGGAACCTCTTTGGAGTTCAGCTGTGTTGCTTTTGCAGATGAGATTGCAATTGACAGCTTGTCGGTGAAGAAACCTGAAAACAATTCTGAAGAAATGGTGTACGATGGACCAAACTTCCAGTAAGTCTACAACCTACTGTTCTCTTATGTTGTTTTGACTTTTGACCAGTTAACTTGTGTTAACTCTGGCGGGTGTGAGTCGTTTGGCTGAATACTTGTGGCTTGCTCTACAGTGATTTGGATGAGAATCTGAAGAATGCTTTCCATAAGTATTTGGATATACGAGGAATCAAGCCCAGCACAACCAATTTCCTCCACGAGTACATGATCAACAAAGACAGTAGAGAGTATTTGGGCTGGTTGAATGACCTCAAGAAGTTCGTGCAGGCATGAAAGTTTATCGAAAGCACTTCTTCGATCTCTTTGGCCGATGCAATTTCGAATTCAACACCGTTTAGGTTTACTAAGTCTGGTGTGGAGATGCTCGTCATTAATGTTGGTAGAGTTTCTCACTGTTATAGTATCCGCGGTTAGTGCTGACTCTGCTGGGCAGCTTTTTGCTTATCGAACTACCGGTGGTAAGTGCTATATGTTCAGATGAGATGTTGCTTATGAAAAAGTGAATTTGGGTTCTCTTTCATGAGTACATGTAAACAAGATGCTGTATCAGGTAGACCATCTGTGGCTTCGGTGTGAAAGAAAAGAACTTTGGGATGTATTTACTGGTTCCTAGTCGTCTCTGGTTGTTCGGAACTAGCTCCTGGACGTTGGTGTTTTTTTCTTCGTCCTTTTGGTGGACACTGAACACGTACTACATTGTGAAATCTAAGGTAGTAGCATTCCAAATTTTTATTTTTATCCTAATCGAAGTTATGCATTTTTAAAATATATTTTTTAGATTTCTTCCTACAATTTGGATTATTGAGGTATATTAGATTTTAGTGTTATATTTGGATTTTATCTATAGAGAGAATTAATATTATAGTCCTTACAACTTGCAATATCAACAATCAATTATGATAAGATTGGACAAAGACAGTTCTGAAGTCATATTGGCTTTTTCTTCATAGAGGGAGCATGAATGACAAAATCGATTATGGATAAATTAATTATGATTAACAAAATGATTGTGAAGAGGTTGTGTTCAACGTTGATTGTTTTGTTCTTTCGTTGTTGTGTTCAATAATACTATAGAGGTTGTGCTGGAGTCGAGAGTAAAGGTACTCGAGACAATATTGACAATATTGGTAATGATGGTGACTATTCATAATAGGAATCTCCAAATGAAATACATTGAAAGAGATTACCTGTTCCTTCACCATTTTTCATGTGATGGATTCGCTAAACATAATTAAACAGTTAAGTAACCATTTCATTGTCTAGCAATATCAAAACAACTCAGCAACCCGGTGGTAATGTACTCTCCCAAAGCCTCAATTTAATTTATTGTTACGAAAAAGCTTCAATCTCTGCCCACTAATTGTTATTGCAATTGTCTCTATCTCTTGATTTTAATTGGTACTAATTTACATTTGGTTTACTATTTTATAAATTAGAAGGGACCCGCAGTGACAAGGCTTAGGTTGATTATGTATATCTTCTTAGATAGATATTGTTTTTGATTATCTCTTGTATATTTTTCAATATCTTCTGCGACAAATTTGTACTTATCCTATTTCTTCATCTACTATCGAGTATCGATACTTCATGCGTTGCTGGAAGGCCACTAAGCTCATAATTTAAGGGTACACTGATTAGCGACCCATAAACATTGAGGAGCCATTAACCCTTTCTCTTAGAGTGACGAAATTGCAATGATTGATTGAATGACAAGTAGAATAAATTATGTGTATTTTGATGGATCAAATCAGTATTGTACTAATTTTTTGCTATGAATAGTCAGAATAGACTAGAGACGATAATGGGCTAGATTGAGGTAAAATATTGCATATTCATTTTCCTACCTAAAATAGTTCGGATTTTATCCATGTTATAAACATATAAGAATCGAGTAGAATATCAAAATGATAGACATAGGATTTCGGATATCAGCCCCTAACAAACGAAGCCTATTGCTTAAAAAAGTGAACGGCATGAAATGTTGACTTAAGGACATAAACTCCTCTTGTAGAGTTGCATTACAATGAGCCTTCCTAACTACTAGCATGAAGGCCAAAAGAGAAACTCATAAGATCCCAAACTCCACGTTCCCAAATCTGCCCAGGCTACTACTGGTCATGGATCGGAAGAGGCCCCCCACATAACTTAAATCTTTCGTCATAATTATAAGAAACTCCAGCACCTCCAACAATAAAGCTTAATAGAGAATGGAGAACTTATTCAGTAACATAAGGTCATGGCAGAGATTACAGGATACCCTAATAATGATAATAAACACTCCCCCTAATAATGATGATTTGATTTATTAAAACCGCAGCTAAGATGGCATGCAAGTGACTAGTCTTCTTCCTCCGGTGATGATGCTTGGAAATCTATACAGAAGTTAAATCCTTGTGGGTGTAGGTTATTGCCTTATCACCATCCACTATTTGTCCACTCCCTCTCAGTAGCCTGCAAATGGAACGTAGAGACAATAGATAGGGTTCAGGAAAAGAAAAAGGGTTCTGTTTTTTTTCAAACAATGGAAACAAGTGGGCAGGGGCAATCCTGATGAGAGTCGGTATTACCATCGGGTTGTTAATAATCCTTCGACTCCAACAGGGCCTCGAGCATGGATCCTACTCGTACTGATTCCGACCTGTTTACCCCATCCATCAAGAAAAATCCAGTAATAAGCACCACACAATCATTAGTTAGAGATGCATAGATAAGATTGTCATTCGAGTTATTCACCTCTGCTCCAAGTCCAAATCGAGCTCCATCAGAGAACCTTGTGCTGGCATTGTGGAAAACAGCAGCACTGCATTGGATGAATAGAGGAAACAACATCGCAAATCACAATGTCAATGAATATGAAACTGAAGCAACAATAATCTGAGACAAAAACATAGTACAGTGTAGATGAGGGTTAGTTACCTGTCAACTTGTCGCAAAAAGGTCTCTGCAACTTCAAGGTCTTCTGATATGATGCAATCAGTATGGGCACTGCCAAAAAAAGGGGGAAACAACGTCAGCAGACAAATTCAGCATGAAATGAAATGTCGCACAACTTGTCCAAACGAAAGCAATTAAGATCTTGCCTTCCATGTCGATGTATGTGATCGATGGCAGCATGCACATCATCAACGATCTCAACAGTGCATGCAAGGGAACTGTACTCATGATGTAACGATGCTGGCTCAGGGATGCTCAGCTCCTCGCTCGCCCTTGGCCCGCCATGTAGAACCACACCTGAATAATAGAAACATCTCGTAATCAATAGGGATATACAGCTTATATCTTAAGGGAAGACCTCAAACCCAGGAAAAGACTAAAAACAGCATCCATCCATACCTTCATTCCGAAGTTCAAGTACTAGCTCATTCAGGCCACCAGAGGACACTAAATCCTTATGCACTAGAAGTGTTTCCTGGATATTGTAAGAGAAAACCAAAAAAAGGTATTGGTTCATAATTCATTAAGAAAAAGAGCACACAGAATAGAAACCATGTTAATATGTAGATGAGAGTTAGTCAGCTATTATACCATTGCATTACAGGCTGCTGGATAATCCACTTTTGCATCCACTATGACACGTTTGGCCATTTGCATATTAGCAGACTTGTCAACATATACATGACAGACTCCATCTGTGTAGCAGCACAAAACGTGTGACTTCCATGTTTGGCACCATCAACAGACCGACAAATGAAACCGAAGTTATTTATTACCTGCATGGCCCAGAACAGGGATTTTGGTTGATGCTTTGATACTCGAAACCAGTTTATTGCTGCCCCTAGGAATCACAAGATCGATTACATCATCGAGCTGATTCAAAGGAAAAGGAAACACATCAGTCCAAACTCTCTTTCCAAGTTTTAAGCAACAGGGCCATCTGCTTAAATTTCGTTATAGTTCAAACAACTATTCACCTTAAGTAGGTCAGGAATTTCATCTCTTGAGGTCACCAGTCCAATAAGCCTTCTCCCAACATTGTCTGGAATGGCATCAGTGATTACCTATTTTGTAACAAATTATAATGGGGAAGAGTAAGCACATGTGCTAATCAATTAATATTCAAACTTCAGAAAGCAAAGAAGCAGACCTTGTGCAAAATTGCATTTGATCGCCTGGCCTCCTTTCCCCCTTTCAGTAGGAGACCATTTCCACTGCGGATCGCCAATGAAGCAATCTATTTAAAAGAATACAGCAAACTTAAAACAAATGACACAGCTTTTAATTTTAGGGTGAGCAAGAAGGTTGCCGACCATCCTATAATATAACCCACCTGCACTAGTGCATCAGGCCGAGCCTCAAAAACAATCAGGAGAACCCCTAGAGGAGATGATGTCTTCTCTAAGACAAGACCATCTGCAAGCTGGAACCATTAAACAGAATTGAGTAACACCTAACACAAAATATTTGGTAACATAGCGAAAAGAAATATTCAACTAATACCAAGCGAGTGTCCTGACATCCCCCATGGCATTTTTAAAGCAACCTAAACAATTTGAATACTTTGGTTGGACATAATCAGAAAACTCCCAATTTACTGACAAGGGGCTGTTTGTTTCTTAAAATGTGCATTTATCCTTCATATTTCCCCTCTTTCTGCGCTAAATAATAGTGCTGACTTAAATCATCAGAATTGAAGCCCTAAAATAAAGCCCTAAAATTGAATTGGGAGAATAAAGATAAATCCTTACCTCAGTGGTCTTTAAAACGTGACCAACTGGATCTACCATGCTCGCAAGGACACGTATTGATTTTGCAAGACTTGTAATCTGGAAAGTAAAGAATAAAAAAGAGGATAAATGTATACACATAAGAAAATGGCTCAAGCAAGAACATAAAATTATAAATAGAGTCTAACAACAGCATTGTCTTGCCTTGCCAGGCTTTAGAGCCAGACGTGCAATCAAGGCCTTCTCCATTCCAGCCTGCTCAGCAGCAGCAACATCTGCATCATTTTCAACCTTGATTACTTTTTCATTGGCTTCTAGGGCATTTGCTATGTCCAGCAAAATCTTTTTCCTATCTTCTGAAGATAGTGCCTGCAGAAGAGGACATAAACCGAGGAGCACGATAAAGTTAAGAGCAAGATACATTAATTTCAAAAATAAAACCAAAAGCTTCATTTAACGGTGTAAGAGATGGGATAATCCACAGAACCTGCAGCCTTCTAGAACATTCCCTTGCTGCAACTGCCATGTCACGTGCACCAGCTTCTTTGGTTTTGACCCACAAATGAGCATCCCGATGAAAGAGGGTGCCAACATCATCTCCTTGGAGGACTTTAACTATGCTCTCGGGATCAAATCCGCTTTAAAAAGAGCCAACTCACAGATCAACACACATCCAGAGAAACAGTTCATGATAATATTTTACAAACGAGTAGTATCAGGATGTTAGAAGAGATAAGCAACAAAAACAAGAAAGAAACACAAAATCAAGAGGTAGTTTATTCAAAATAAAAGCATGGATTCTATATAGCAAGGAAGAATACCTGGTTATAATGACAGGGACACCTGCCTTGGCAGCCATTACAGCAGCTTTTACTTTGGCTGTCATGCCCCCTCTGCCCACCCTAGATTTGTCCCCAAATGTGATTCCACCCAGATGAACTCTCTCAATATAAGTGCGAATCAACTTTGACTCTGGGTCACTAGGTGGACCACTGTAAAGACCCTCCACATCACTCAGCAGAACAAGAAGATCAGCTTTTAGCTCTAGTGCCAACAAAGCGGCCAAGCTGTCATTATCCCAAAATATACCAGAAGAATCCTGTAGAAGAAACTACCACGGGTC